AACTTGGACCAAGTTTTAGCATCGTGGACGCGGCCTTAATAGGAGATAGCAAGTTTTCAAGATCCAAATTCAATCACAATCTTCTTTCGCGGCGATTGCACAATCTAACAATGAATTTTCCACTAAATAGATCTCATTCCAAGGGCAATAAATTCACGGTGGAACCAACAGACGATGCCTATTAATTTAATAGAAAACGCGCTGTCTCATATTACGAGCCTGTCTCATAACAGGGGACTTTACTAATGAAGACAGAGAGACGTTGGGAAGCATGCCACTTTTATATCAAACATCTTTATGTACGCACTATTTAGGATTTATTTAAGTTTGTCAAATGACTCATCTTGTACACGAGTGCTAGTTTGACGCTATAAGTAGCGATAAATATTTGACTTACGTAAAAGTATTTGACTTTCTATTTAAAAAAAAGTAAAAATTCCCCATATAAAATACAAGATGTCCCTGAGCTATTAACTTCTGCTGCCATCGAAAAGTAATGCCGATAATACAGCTTGAAGAAACTCTGATGATCAATAAACTGATGAGCAATAAAAATTGAAAACAATTTTCTACTAATCTAATATGCGAAAATGATATTTTAAAAATGATACTTTTTTATAATAACAATAAATTCATTGGTTCAAAATAATGTTGAAATTTTTTAAATTTTAATTCAAGTAAATAATAAATATAAACAAGTATAGTGTGCAGCAATCACATACAATCTAATAATTTATGTAACAAGATATTTATTTTCGTCCAAGTTGCATGTTCTACAATAATATTTCATACATTAACGTGCACGAAATTCAACTACGAATAGTATAAAAGTGTAAGTGTATGGAAATGCCTGTTGAATCTGTATTTAATTTAAGTTGATCATAAATCACTTTTCACTCTTTTCTAGTCGGTAAAGCTAATCGTGGGCGATCACGTAATTATAGAAATTGTATTTTTCAACCTTCTCTGCATTAATGAACTCTGTATGTAATTAACCTTTTAATGATCCATGAGTGTCGCGAGGAATATTTTGCGGGAGTCTGTAAGTACCATTTGTTTTGATGCTAGAAAATCCGTATCAGACTCTCTACGAATTGAGATTGAAATTAGATTGAAATCTGACCAATCAGAGTAAAGTTTACTAATTTCAAATTTAGTGTATTTTACTCTGATTGGTCAAATTTCAATCTAATCTCGGTCTCAATCCGTAGTCTGATACGGGCTTTACAATTATTTTTGTCGGCAAATTAAGCATTGAAAATAGTGTAAATCTAGCATATCGTTCTTGAAAAGAACGAAACATCTTCACGAAAGAAAACTTGATAAAATGTTGACGAGTGGACTCGCGGAGAAAGAAACGACCCTTTGACAATGACTTTTCAAGTATTGTCGCGAGAGGGAAGAGACTTCTATGCGGGAGGACCGATAACGCAGGCGCGAGACGTTTAAGGAAAATCCATCCGGCACATTGGATCGAAGGTCGTGCTCATCAAGGTGACCTTCGCTGAGGCATTCGCTCAATCCTAGCACGTACATGGAAGCAAGATTCATATTTTCCGATCTTACTTTTCACTTGAATTAGAAATATAGCCTTATTTTCATTTTCGTCGCACCTCGTTTCCGCAAAGATTTCTTAAAAAATTCAGCAAAACTAATATCTAACCCATCGAATTCAATTTTGAAATTGAAACGGGATTCCGTCAGTTTTATCGTAAGTCTTGGAAAATAAGGAATGCAATATTTTTTCTACAGTCCGCTACTCAAAATCACAGTCAATGCAATAGAAATGGCAGATCGCGACCTTTATCAGCTGAGAGATCTACAGTCTGGCGAGTGTCTGCGCGCGATTAATCGCTCGATCGCGCGCGATCGGCGAGACGTGATGTTCGATCGTGACTGCGACCCGCGCCTCCTCGAGCAACTAGAAATAACAAATAACGTAACATGAAATGTGAACAATACACGCAGGTAACCAAGAAGAAAAAGGGAGAAAGAGTGGGAAGGTCAAAGGGGCGAACCTGCTTCAACGACTTGGACGTGAAGATGAAAGACTAAACTTGTGCTTTTTTTTGTCAACAAGATTAATCAGAGAAGTAAACTCGTGACACTCTTAAACACTCGTTAAACATTCGTTAAACTCGTATATCGCCTCCGCCCAAAAATTTTAAAGCCCAATCAGAAATTACTCGTCGATCGACGTCGAAACGACGTTATTTCTCACT